ACTATAGTAAATGCAAAGGCGGCAAGTTACAAGATATAGGTTAGAATATACACGTGCTGTTGTTCAGAGTTCATAAATAACTTGGCTGATATACTCCATTCGCTTAGCTCGGGCATATTTTGAGAGATTCATTGTCGGAAACCTACAACACAACAATTCCTACTTCTCAGTATTAATAGCTCTCTCTGATGTCTGGAACAAAGTAAGGAAAATTTCTGGTTTACATACTTCATATAATTTCACGGGGCTAAAAGAAAATAATTATTTCATAACATCGAGCAGCGATATTGCAAACATTTTTGGAAGAATCTATCAAAGCCACTCATCGAATCAACAGTATACCACCAATTTTCTCAAAGCCAAAGAATTCGCCGAACAAAATCCCATTTATCTGTTTGAAGTACAAAATAATTCATTAAACCATCCCATCACTTTTCAAGAGATAAACTCATCTATTCTTAACTTGAAGGACTCTAGTCCTGGGCCTGATGATATTCCTTCAGCATTTCTGAAACATCTCCCTGTTTCAGCCATAACGTATCTCTTAAACGTATTCAACAGCATTTGGCTTCACCACCAATGGCCAGCTATTTGGTCAAATGCAATAGTCATTCCTCTCCTAAAATCTAATAAACCTAAATATGACCCAGAATCATATCGACCCATATCTCTGACATCGACAACCTGCAAATTACTAGAAAATATTGTTGAAACTCCAGACTCTCATGGGTTTTAGAAAATTCCAATTTCTTAATCTCAGAGCAAAATGGCTTTAGAAAAGATCGGTCATCCACAGACAACATTTTAGATTTAGAAAGTGAAATACATGAAGCTCTTGCTACAAACCAAAAATGTGTTGCTATATTTTTTGACTTAGAACGTGCATTTAATAAAGCTTGGAAATACAACATTTTAAGACAACTTTATAAATGGAATATTCAAGGTCACTGCCTTGCTTTCATCCAAAACTTTTTAAATAACAGATCTTTTCAAGTAAAAATAAATAATATCTCTTCAAATATTTATAGTTTGGAAAGTGGTACACCCCAAGGATCCATACTCAGTCCAACACTATTTCTGGTAGCAATAAACGACATCATTATAAACATTCAAGCACCCTTACAGGCTCGTTTATACGCTGATGACCTAGTGGTATCTATTAAAGGTAAAAATATTTCCTCAATATCATCAATTCTTCAAAACTTTTTAGATACTCTCGAAAATTGGTCCAACTTTACAGGTTTTCAATAGGAGTCGTATTCTCTTCAAGCTCCTTGCCACAACCTCCTAACCTAAGAATGTATGAGAAACAGCTGGAGTTTAGAGATCACCACAAATTCTTGGGTTTAATCTTCGATTCAAAGTTAACATGGAAAAATCACATCTCACAACTCATCCTTTCCTGTAATAAAAGAATAAACGTATTAAGATCTCTCTGTAATAAAAACTGGGGCTCAGATCAATCCACTCTACTCCTCCTGTATAAATCTTTAATACGTTCTAAGCTAGATTATGGAGCAATTGCCTATTCCACTGCTAATAAATCTCTACTGAAATCATTAGATATTATTCATAATAAAAGTCTTAGACTAATCTTAGGGGCTTTCTTAACTACACCTGTATCCAGCATTTATGCTCTTTTAGGAGAACCATCGCTACATCACCGCCGCATGTACCTCGCTCTATCACATGCAGCCTCAGTCGCTGGAAATATTTCAAAGCCAATATATCAAAATACTTTTACAAATAAATATATATATATATATAATGGCTATACACCCCAACGTGGGGTTAAACCGCAAATGCTTTCTAGATCCTATTTCTTAAGTGGATCAGTCTTTTTTTTTTATCTTATCTTCTTGACAATATCTCTCCATTTTTTCCTGTCTCTAGTTCTTCCTCTCCATTCACTGACTCCTGCCCTTTGGAGGTCTTCTTCAACTTCTTGCAGCCACTTTGATCTCGGTCTTCCCCTTCTCTTTCTTCCTCCTGGATTCCATTCTATCATTGAATATGTCACTGCCTCATCGCCTGCTCGCCAGATGTGACCTAACCATCTAACTCTGCATTGCTTTATTTTAGTTACAATGTCTTCCTTAAGTTCTTCCTTAATTTCTGCATTTGTTCTGCTTCTATATTCATTTTGCTCTGTTCTGATTGGTCCTAGTATGGTTCTCATAATCTTTCTCTCTGCAATTCTTAAGTCTTCTTCATCTTTTTTAACCATCGTCATTGTTTCCCCTGCATATAATAATATTGGTCTAATTATGGTGTTATAAATGCTCATCTTGCTTTTTTTAGTCAGTGTTTTGCTTTTAAGTAATCTTTTGTTTGCAAAATAAGCTTTATTCGCTGCTAATATTTTTTCTTTTATTTCGGATTTCCTTTCTCCGGATTTACTTATTGTAACTCCTAGGTATTTGAAGTATTCTACTTCTTCAAACTCAGAACTTCCTATTTTGATTTTTTCCTTCATTGGTTTTTTCCCTAATCTTAATATTTTTGTCTTTTCTTGATTTAATCTTAGCCCCATTACCTCTCCTTTCTCTCTTATTTCTTCAAGCATTTCTTTCATTATTTTTCTGTTCTTTGCAATAATAGCAATATCATCTGCATATGCAATTATTTGACCACCTCTTGTTCTGAGATTTCCTTTATTTATATTTCGCAGTACATATTCTAATGCTAGATTAAATAGCGTCGTTGATAAGGCATCTCCTTGTTTCATCCCTTTATTTATACTGAATTCCTCTGTCTCTCCTCTTTGTGTCTTTATGCTTATTTTTGTAGTTCTCATTGTCATTTCTATTAATTTTCTGAGTTTATGTGGAATTTTTAATTTTTTAAGTGCTGTCATTAATACGTTCCTTTTAATTGAATCAAATGCCTGTTTGAAGTCTATGAATAACATTTCCAATTCTAATTTATACTCGTTTGCTTTTTCCATTATTTGTTTTATTGTGTGTATTGCATCTATTGTAGATCTTCCTTCTGTGAATCCACATTGGTACTGTCCTACTGTCTTCTTTGTGATCTTTGATAACCTCTTTTTTATTATTGATGTCAATATTTTATATGTTGTATTTAGTAATGTTATTCCTCTATAATTTTCACAGATTTACATACAAATAAATATGTAAACTTATTCCAAGATATTCTCTATACTAAAAAACCATATTACGAAAGAATTAAATCCATTCTTCAAAACCTAAACATTAATTTTCCGGAGGTTTTCTCCTCAGATATTAAATACCCCGAGCCTTGGCTGATCGATATACCAACTTGTGATGCATCTCTGATTCGGTCCAAGTTTAAGGCCCTCATAAATAAGTACCCCGACTACCATAAAATCTACACTAATGCATCTAAATCCGAAGACGGAGTGGGGGCATCAATCGTTTCTTCAGAAAACAATCTTCTTTTCCGTTTACCCTCAGCATGCAGCACATATTCAGCTGAACTCTACGCCATATACCGTGCTGTGAAACTTCTTAACGAGCTTACACTCACAAAAGTCCTTATCATAACAGATTCCCTTAGCTCTCTAAACTCATTAAAACACATTTTTCCGAAACATCCTTTTGAAAAGTTGCTAAAATACCAGCTTTCCCAAGCTCATGAACATATAACAGTGACGTTTCCACACAATAAAAGTGTGTTTCCAGTGACTTAAAAGCGTATTTTAAAAATAAAGTGTTGTATTTGTGGCGAAATGAGTGGTTTCGAACTAATTCCAATCTAACTAAAATTAAAAATAATGTGTCTCAGTGGTTTCCATCGACGCGCAATAGACGGGAACAAATTGCGGTTGCGCGTTTACGTCTAGGACATACCAGATTAACGCACTCCTACCTTTTCACAAAGAATAATCCACCTATATGTGATCAGTGTAACGTCCGATTAACAGTCGAACACTTTTTAATAATTTGTAGTAATTATGACCAAGAAAGACAGCGCTACAAGATCCCAAACGCTCTACCACAGGCTCTAGGTCAAAACTGTTCCTATGAAAATATAGTGAATTATCTTAGATCCATAAACATTTTATCCATAAACGCAAACGCAGTCCAGGACGAAGAAGAACCTCATGGTTGAAGAACTTGCGAGACTGGTGTGGTGTAGATACAAGCATGCTATTTAGGGTGGCAGTGGATAAAATTAAAATAGCTATGATGGTAACCAACGTTCTGAAAGGACATGGTACATGAAGAAGAAGATAAACATTTTGTACAATCTGTAGGTGTCTAACTTTGTTATTTATATTTTGTTCCGTCGCTAATAACCTTTTGGTGGATGCGACATCTTTTTCTAATAAAAAAAAAATAGTATTAATAACTCAAGTATACTACTATTGCAGACTTTTTTCTTTGAAAAAAGAAGAAATATTCTAAATAGTGGAAGTGTATACTAAACCTATTAAATTTTGGGTAGTGTATATTTTAAAAATATATTTTAGTTGTTATAATTTAACATAACTATTTATTATATGGTGCAGATAAATAAATATTCATTATCGGTAATTCGCAAAGTTCTATTTTATTTCCTATTTAGTTTGTTTACTATTACTATTGGCTATGAGTACGTTTGCTTGGTTATATAGTAATTTCCAACCACTTTTAGTCTGTCAAAAAGTAACTAACTTCGCAAAAAAATAATTCACTAAATTCACTAGACAGTTCGGACTGGGAATAGCGAACCGTGTATAATAGAAATTAAATTTAGCAGCACACTTTAAGTGGTATTAAAATTCATCGAATACGTGGTATCAGAACATATTTGTGAAAGATCCTGATCCGTGCTATTACAAATTTATGCATAATGTGCTAAATAATGTGTTCTCGTACTTGGGATTAGAATCACTCGGAAGAACGTGCGCAATATACTTAGAGTCAATATCTAACTCATTTTGTCTAAAAATTCTCATACGTGGTATTAGAATGTAGGTAATTTTAACTGTTAATGGGGTTATCCCCTGTATTAAATAAATAAACCTACTAAATTTTAAACATGGTTTATTTAGAATTTTACAAAGATTCGAAAGTGGTACATTTTCTATTAAAATTCTTGATGAAAATTTACTGAGCATACAAGTCTACAAGAAATAAAATTTCTTGCATTTTAAATCAAAATTTTCAAAACATTTTACAATTATTTAAAATTCTTACATCTCTTTTCATGACCGTCCTTGCTAGTTTTGGAAATAAAGCCTTTCTTGCATTTAGAACAAGCATACGGTCGCTCTCCAGTATGCGTCCTTATATGTAAAGTAAGGCTCGACCTCTGGGAGAAAGATTTGTCGCACAAGTGGCACTTGCAGGGCTTCTCTCCGGTATGTACCCTCGCATGAATGTTCAGGCCAGCTTTCTTTTTAAACACTTTACCACAAACGCTGCAAATGTATCGACCCTCTGCGTGCGTTTCTGCATGGAGCCTGAATAATTGTTGTGAAGTAAAAACTTTTCCGCATTCATTACAAAGGAACTTATCTTTTTCCTCGACTGAGTGGAAATGTTCGTTATGAACGGCTAAATTCTTCTTGTAAGGGAATGTTACATCACAAGTAAAACATTGGAACTTTTTATGAATTTCTTGCATGTGTTGGTTCAATGAATACCGATTAGGAAAAGTTAATGAGCACGTGCTGCAGTTGCATTTTTCCTTGCTGAAACTTTCGACGTGGAAAATTTTGTGGTCTTCGAACCACGCCTTGGAAGTAAAATTCTTGTCGCACTCTTCGCAATAAAATTCTTCTTTTACATGTTCTTTGTTAAAGTGGGCAAGTAAGTCTTTGCTTGTCTTTGTCGTAAAGACTTTACAAGTTACACAAACGTAGGTTTCGGGATCGTCCGAATGGGTTGTGTTATGCAGACTTAAAGAGAAATCATCCAAGAAGTTTAAATTGCATATATTGCAGTAATGGTCCTTTGGTTTATGTTTTAATATAGCGTGTTGATGTAAGTAATACTTAGCAGCATATGCTGTGTTACAAATAGGACACACGAGTTCTTTGTCCTTGTCGTCATTTAGATAATCCATAGAACCATTTGCATCTGCATCTGTCAATTGATCTGTTGTGCGTTTATGTACTTCATAATGATCGAGCAGTTCCTCTTTTTCTTTATACTCTTCTTTACACATTTTGCAGGCCCATACCACTGGTTCAAACTTAGTCTCATTCAGCTCCTTTTCCATTACTGACCTTCTTTGCACGTACGAATACGCTACTTTGTCTTTTACATACGGGGTATAGTCGAAAGGGTTTACGTACGGCTTAAGCGGACTAGCGAACCTATTGGCAAGACGACTCGGGTTTTTTATTACAAAAGTTGTGTTTGCTAAGTTTGTTTGCGGGTTAAGTACCAATTGAGTATTTGGTAGGGCAAACTTTGATCCTGAAGCATTTGGAAGCAATAAATAGTATACGGGAGCATTGTTGGCAAGTTTTAATTGAGATCTCACGGCAACTGGTTTTTGTGGCTTGATGTTGCTAGATGACAAAGTTGGTGGAGTCGGATGAATTATTATCCTAAAAAATAATTGTATTAATAATAAATCATTTAACAATACTTATATTACTTATTATAAAAAAATAAAACCAAAAGGTTGGCAACATTACCAATATTAATGTTACACTAACTTAACTTAGAATCGACTGTTCAAACGCTAATCAAAACTTGTTGTAATCAAATATTTAATTACAATCAAATATGTCACAGCAACTGTCAAAATTATTTAAAATTGCATATTATTATTTATTTGTAAATCAAAACATGAAATTAACATCAGAAAGAGTTTAATTATGGTTTATTTGAAATTATAACGTAAAATAATAAAATTGAATAAAATAAATCTGTCAACATAACCCCAAAATGTGACTTATTTGGAAAGCATTTGGTGTTCGTGTGAATCAAGGTATAAAAAGTGCTTTTTAAAAGCTTAAAACTTTATTTTTGTAATATGTGTTATATAAATGCCATATTTAAAGGTGGCTGAAGTCCTAAAAGGTAATGGTAATGACAGTTACCTGTTAGGACAGTTGTCGTCTAGGCGCCTGTCAGTGGTATGGAAATAAAATTGTTGCTCCTAAAAGCTTAAGATCTGAAATGTTAAGGCTGGTGCATGAGGGGTATATTAGCATTAAGAAATCAAAAGCTAGAGCCAGGCAAATTTTTAACTGGCCAGGAATGAGCTGTGATATAGAGACTTATATAAAAAGATGTAAATCTTGTGAAAAGTTTAGATCGAAGCAACAAAGGGAAACATTATGTCCATACCCTTTACCAGAATATCCATGGGAAAGAATTGGCATTGACATTTTCACATGTTATCTACTTTGTACAAGTTATCTAGCAGCTTATGATTCTTTTTCAAACTGGATAAAGCTTCACTCTATAAAAGACAAATCTGTTTTTCTGTCATTAAAGTTTTAAAGTCAATGCTTGCTATACATGGTACAACAGCTTATATATGCTGTGATAATGTTCCTTTCAACAGCTATCATTTTAAAAACTTTGCCGCAGAATGGAATTTTCAAATTAAGTTTAGAAGTCCCAATTATCTGCGGTCAAATGGGTTTGCTGAGAAAGGTGTAGCAATTGCTAAGAGTATTGTTAAAAAGTCTATTGATGATAGGTCTGATGTTGAATCAGCATTATTACAATATAGGTATTCACCCCTTAAACACATTGGTTATACTCCTTCACAGCTCTTAATGAGTAGACACTGTAGAACCAAATTACCTATTGATCAAGATATGTTAAAACCAGCTTTATGCATAAATGTAAAAGGAAAATTAAGTAAAAGGAAAACTGTGTATGTCAGAGACTATAACCAAGGTGTTAAGGATTTAGAGTCGTTAGAACATGAGACAGATGTTGTTATGTACAATCAATGTCAAAAGAGGTGGGAACCAGCCCAAATAATATCGCAGCATGAAGCCCCAAGGTCTTATATCTTGAGAGATGAGCATAATAATATTGTCCGTCGCAATAGAGTAGATATTAGAGAATCCCTAAATAGATTTAAGTCACAACCAACTATAATACTTACGAATACAAGTGATGTAGATTTAGATCAAGAACCCTCATCCTCAACACAGATAACAGAGGCAGAGTTGCCTACCTCTACTGACATACAAAATAATGTCACTGAACAAGCAGATAATTATAGAACTAAATCAGGTAGAGTTGTTAAACCACCTTTAAAACTGAATTTGTAAAAAGGGGGAGATGTAATGTGTTATATAAATGCCATATGTAAAGGTAGCTGAAGTCTTAATGGTAATGGTAGTGACAGTTACCTGTTAGGACAGATGTCATCTAGGCGCTTGTCAGTGGTAGCCGCAACATTAGGTTATAAGTTATTGATACACATGTGTTATATATTCTTGATTAAACAGCTATACTCAAGATACCTAATGTTTATTTTAAGTCATATCTTACAATTTTAAAAAAGATATTTTCGGAATTTAAATCATTCCATCATCAGTTTACTAAAAGAGAGAGTAAAAAACCAATATTAAAAAACACGTAAGTTGAAATTTAAATGTATAAAAAGAACACGTTGTTTATTTACTACTTACATAAAAAGTTGTTAAAAACATTATTTGGCCACAGAAAAACACTAGAAGGACATCAGTAATAAAAAATCCTCGTGGAATTTACAAAGGTAAATGCAACAGACCATTAACTTCAGTAATTAATAAAAAAAACTACAACTGGGGACATTTAACATGTCCCCCAGGAGCTGGTGAAATTTTGTTGACTTACATTACCTCTGAACAGCGTCTGAATCAATCAAAAACACTATCTTGAATTCTGTTGAAAATGTTAAGATTTCCTTTAAAGTTAACAATAAATTGAGTAGATCAATATGCAATAGTAAGGACTCTATTGACTTCAGCAAACGTAGTGGAGTTTATAAACTTCAATGTTCTGACTGTGATGCCACTTATATTGGTAGAACTTGTAGATCTCTGGTAACCAGGGCCAATGAACATTCTAAGTTAGAGAATACTTTTTCTTTTTCCCATCATCTTAAATATCACAATAACACAATCAAGATACCAGATAATATTTCTCTTCTTCATAAAATACCAGGAGGAGATTATCTCAAACTTAACCTTTTTGAAGATTTGGAGATCGCCAAGGAAAAGAAAAATAGATCCAATTGTGTTAATCGTCACACCAGCCTCAGTAGAGTTACACTACATAGACAATTATTCTCCTAATCCAATTTTCTGTCTTTTAACTATACATCCAGTTTTACTTACTTCTACATTGCTTTCTCTCTTTTCCTTAGCTTAATCAATGCCCGATATATCCTGTTATACTTAACACTATTCTTGTCATCATTAATACACTAACATCCTTATTCTAATATCCAATTTCCCATCCTCTCAAATAATTCCCACCCTAACTAATCATACATAATTTTCAAATTAGCTTTTATCTCTACTTACTTCATATAATGAAATTATTAGGTAATAACATCTCCCTTTTTCACTTTTGATAATTATTTAATTTTCAATTACCTAACTTAAATTTTGTCTTAACCTGGTATACCAAATTTAATTTACATCACAGTCACTCATTGTTTGACATTCTCCCCCCTTGTTAATATACCAAAAATTGCTATTGATCCTACTACACATTAAACATAATTCTTCACTAAAACCGGCCTATCCATAAACGGAAGCAGAATGACCTTTGCTCCTACCACATCATTCCACTTGACATTGACGGGTACAGACTGATTTTTCATACCATCTTTCTATCAGTTAGCCCTACACTCCAACACAGTTCAGAGGTAATGTAAGTCAACAAAATTTCACCAGCTCCTGGGGGACATGTTAAATGCCCCTAGTTGTAGTTTTTTGATTAATTACTGAAGTTAAAGGTCTATTGCATTTACCTTTGTAAATTCCACGGGGATTTTTTATTACTGATGTCCTTCTAGAGTTTTTCTGTGGTCAAACAATGTTTTTAACAACTTTTTATGTTATAGTTGATTCGTCTTCCGGGTTTGGACCGTGTCATTTGTGAGTGACCCAAAAGTGGGTTCATCTCGACGTTTCGCTACAATTGTATGTAGCTTCTTCAGGAGAACAAAGAAAAAGAAATCAAAAGACAGGAAGATGGGTAGTTAGCAACGGTAACTCAGTTACTCAACGCAACCAGAGGCGAATACTAACTACCAAGATGGGCATTTGGTCACAGTAACTCAACTAATTAACGCAGCCAGAGGTGAAAACCAAATGCCAGGACAGGGATTCACTTCCAACAGCTCAGAACACTAACGCGTCGAGAGGCGGGGAGTGATTCCTCGGATTCACTCCCCGCGCTGTATCTCATAAACAGAAAATTTTATACAGAAAATTTTATAAGACATTATTTGTGGCAAATTAAATAGTCTACTACTTCATTTCTAGTGTGGTATTGGAGGACGAGTATTGCTGATGTTGTGCAATGCATAACGGAACTGAAATGAATGTGGACAGGCTATGTAGCCAGAATGTACGACTAACGATGGACGAGCAAAATTACCAATTTGTAGGCTAAGAGTATACAAACGTAGTAGATGAAGACTACCTACACGTTGGGCTGACGACATCAGACGTATCACTAAAAAATTAGCAACAAACAGCACAAAATCGTAAAGACTACAGGAATTTAAGGGAGGCCTATGCTCGGCAGTGGACGTGATAAAGGAAGGTTGGATGATGATGATAGTGTATATTTTATGGTCTTTTTGTAATTAGCATAGCAGTTTTCCCATCTCAGCACTATTTAGCAATACTCAGACTGCAGTCATATGCATATTGTAAGTTGTTAGTTAATTTTCCGTAACGGTACCTCCGGCTTTGATATTATTGGGCGTATTTTTGAAAATTTCTTAGAATATAAGTTAAGTAAAAGTGGCAATAACTGTCTAACTATGGCATTCAACTATGTTGAACTATGGCACTTTGGTTCCAATATAATGTTTGGATTATATTTATGATTTTTATGTCAATGTGCTTATTCTTAAGTATTATTCCAATCATGAATGTGTTGTTATATCCTTCATAAAATAAATACTCAATAAATAACACACATTTCATAAATATATCTCTTGAATAAGTATACATAACTTTTAAATAATACAATGGTATATAACATCACTTTCATCTAACAAACAATCACATTACACCTCTACTTCATTGGATCAAATCTATCTCCTCAAGAACTTCCCGTTTATTGTCAAACAACTACAATAGCAGACTTAAGTTCTCCATTCAACAATACATGATAGTTTCAACCATGTTCTACCATCCATCAATTAATAGAGTACCGGCATGCAAGTAATGTTTTATTTATTTGCTCATTTATTAATTTATTACAATCTAATAGACTATTTTATAACAATTTGTGGGTCTTACCTTGTCTGTTAAAACTTTTTATACCTTTTTATTCATTTTGAAAAACCACAGACATGTAATATTGGCATAATTATTGTAATTTTATAACATCTACTTTGTTTATCTTTATTAGACAACACCCTAATATGGGTTTATTATTATTTCAGCATTTATTTAACTTTGTATCGAGACCTGAAGATGCTTTGCATATTGTAGAAAGCGAAACCGGTCGTCTGGATAGTTAAATTAAATTGTTTGTGAGTAAGTCTTATTTATTATTTCTTTACCTGTTATTCCAATCTTTATTCTTACTATATTACTTGTATACATGTTTTCACTGCTGTTATGTATAAGGAGTATATCAAGACCTTCCATAGGGTTTCACAACTTGGTTCTTGATACTGAGTCATACGCTTTCTTTAACTCCATAAATGCACTGCCTTGTTTTTAATAATATTCTTTTCTTTTCTTGCCTATGAATTTTAAACATCTTAACTTTATTACCTTATTGTTATATTATCAGTTCAACTAGGAACCAGGTGCGATTCCAGTTCTCACGTTTTTCAATGCTTATTTTATTTCTGATGTTAAAATGAGGAAATGATTATTATTGGATAAATTAATGGGTAAATTATCCAGATTTTGCCATACGGCTCAAACTCCCTCTAAGAAAAAATTCACTCATCCCAGATATCTACGGTATCAAAAGGATTGAGCTCTGGTGGGACTCTTTCCGTGTTAATGAGCCCTAGGTGACTTGGTATCCTGGAATATCTCCCAAAAATTTTCGTACACAACTTTTTTCGAATAACACCAGTAGTAGATAGAACAATACTTATTGTCTGGATACTTTCCATTCTCCATTGTCATCTGATTTGTTTTTCTAGATCCCTGTACTTAGTGATCTTTTCGTTGTA